CATTTATTGAAATATGCATCACAAAAAAGAAATAAACTCCATAAAAGCTCAATAGTTAACACACTGCATTACTCCGTACAGAATAGCACGTCGATACACTTAGTCCGTGCTGATAACATTTTGATGAGGGAAAATATCACAAGTGGAAAGAGAAGTTATTTGGTATTTGCGCGGCTGAAAGAGGGGGGTTAAAGTATTAAACTGCTGTTCATAAGCTATAATTGTGAATTGTTTATTTCCATGTACTTCTAATATACATTCTATACAAAGTCATGTATATAGTCTGCAGTTGGTTTGCGTCGCAAAATTCATTTGTCAATTATAACTGATTATTTTAGTACTAATCTCAAATCTAAACCAAGTAATTTGAGGTACGGTAATTATTTACTTCAAATCTTATAAGCAATTAACCAGAATACAAATTTTTATGTGTACATCTATACGTTCTTTAACACACACACACACAAACACGGAGAAAGGCCATCCCCTGTTCAAACTGACATTTAGGCATTTGATTTTTTTAGGTGGGGGGGGGGGGGAGGGGGCATGCAAAAATAATTGACATGACCGTTATTTAAATATTCTTGGAAGACAGACATTTCTGCCGAATTCTATTTTGAGATTTTTTTTAAAACTGTGTCACTTCGACCACAAAGTGTGTGCATTTTGAGGAATGTAACTGTTTTATGTTGTTACAGAGAGTCTTTCGAGATTTCAGCATCCCTGCCTGATAGTCTAGCTATTTTTTTTTGTATAAAAATAATTTCTTTAGGAGTATTTGAGAGATAATTTTAAGAGCTAGAGTAGGGATACTTGACACTGGTTGAATACGGATAATTTTTATTAACTCTTTGTAAATTGAACTTTCTCTCTCTTTCTCCTTACCTCTTCCGTCCGTTAGGGCAATAATAGGTATAAGATCCTACGCACTTTGTGCTGTACCATTTATTAAGCCTTAGAAATGATCATGGATTTTTCTCAGACGGGATGTCGAAACTTCATAAATTGGATAATAATTTTAATTTGAACAAAAAATTAACCCAAACGCCCAAATTGAATGAGAAACTAGAGGTGTTGTGAGCAATGAGCTCACTAAATGATACCCCGCCTCCCATGTAGTTATAATGGCAAAAGTCCATATTTTGCTGTTGTTGCTAAACCCAAAATATGTGTCGAATCAAAAAGCAGGCACGTAGCATCGTATTTGAAAGTGGTGGCCAGTCAGAGAATAATTTTTAATTACCTGAAAAAGTTGACAAGCAAAAAAACAAAACAAAACAAAACAAAACCACACCTTCAATTAACATTTCCTATAGTATAAGTTAGGTCGCAGAAAAAAGTGGGGGCAGCCCCCCCCCCCCCCCCCCCCTGTTGCTACACCCCTGAAAAGTAAAATAGGAGTTGCACAATGGTAATATGTAATATACCTAAGAGTCTGTGAAAGTTTCATTAAATTTCACTAAGTGGTACAAGATGATTTGCGGATAAGAGATTGGTACCCCAAAGCGTAAGAGACAGACGCACGGACAGACGGACGGACATAACGATTACTATATACCCTCCCAATTTTCAAGCGGGGGATATAATAAACGTGAAATATACATCACAGGAATGGGAACTTTGGGGACTTTCTCAAATACCTTCTCAAACGTACGTGTCGAACCTGGACCTGGACAACAGACAAGAGAATTTTTAAAAAGCTAATTGTAGGTAGAATGTGGAATTCTCATGGGGAGTTTGCTCTCTCTTCCTATATTTTTTTCTAATAATCATAACTTATTTATGTCTAGAAACTTAATTCACATTAAATTCTATTTTCATTATCATTGCACCACAGAATCAAACTCGTTTATTATACTCCTCGCAATAAGTTGCCTGAGGTATAATGTTTTTGACCCGTCAGTCAGTCTTTTTAAGGTCTTCCGTTTCCAGCGGAAGACCTTCTACTGATTCTGATGATTAAGATTATTCTTATTATTCTTTTTTTTTTCGTTTTCCTAGACGCCAACTTTGAGGCCTGATATTTCACTCATTTCTCAATGGATTTTGCTCAAATTTTCAGAGTTGATAGACGTTACTAAACTCTATCAGAAAGCTATCTAAAATTTCAAAAAGTCACTTCCGGTTTTGAGTTATTTCCCTTCAAACGAAAATTTATAGGCTTTCGTTTCCAGACAAAGGCTCAGAGACGGCTAAAGCTGGAGCAAAAATTCTACTGATTTTAGATATTAGAAGGATTGTAGTTGTGCATAGTGGTTTTTGTTTTTCGATTTCGCTATTCAAAATGGTGCTATATAGGGGTCAAAAATTAGAACGCCTAAAAGGACGAAAATTTACACATATTTTGCTTTTTATCTTCTAAACTAAAAATATTTTGTTAAAACATATAGAACAAAATTTGTGCAGATTTACAAGATCTTTTGAATGATATCTCGAAAAGGGCTGACCCCTAAATTAAGGGATCTAGAGGGGCCAAAAGTTTTTTCCAGATATCTCAAAAAGTATTGAGAATTTGTGATACATCCAAGAAGCAATGTTGTTCAAAATGTCAAGCTTAATCTAATGAAGTCGTCAAAATGCGTCCGGCGACGTCACTTCCGGTCAAACTGGAAGTAGTCAGAAAATGCATATTTTTGCTGTTCTTGACAAGTTTTTGGGTAACATATATCACAAGAAGCACAAAACTTAATTTTCTGTCCATCGACATCACTTGCGGTCAAACCGGAAGTAGCCAAAAATAGCTTATTATTTAAGGTTTTGATGCAAAATTGATTGAAATTATAAAGTGACTGGAGACGACTAAGCTCATTGCTTTCCTTTTGCTGACGTCACTTCCGGTCAAAACAGGACGGAAGACCTTCTCGTTGCTTTGCAACGAGCTTTGCTCTAGTTTTTCTTCTTTTTTTTTGTCAGCGCAACTTCTCATAAACCATTGCACAGAGTTTTGTCGAACTTTGCAGATATTTATAGGAGACAATGTGTGTGTAAATTTGCACATCACCAGAAAATTCCGAATTCTTATTTTTTCGGGAATTTGCGCACTTTTACATTTATATTTTGGCCATATCTTGAATATAGAGATGAGCAGGTTGTCAGCGCAATTCCTCATAAACCGCTGCACACAATTTCTTTGCAGATATTTAGGACACAATGTGTATAGATGAGCATAATACATGGAAATTACGATTCCTTTATTTTTTTCTGGAATTTCAGCACTTCGACTTTTGGGGAAGCGTGGGGTATGTGAACTTGCTCACTTTTTTTCTTTCATTGTACATAAAATTATAAATAACTTTAAATCAAATTATGTTAGTTCTAATAAAGCAGGCCTATACATAGTATTTATTTGATAAAAATTAATCTGTTTCAGATCAGGCTTCATAAGGTGAATGATTCGTAATAACGCATGCTTTATTATAGATTTAATGAAGTTAAACCATGTAATCATAAATTTTATGTAAATACCAACCTTTGACATTTTCCCTGACCAAATAAAATGATCGGCATGGGCCACGTGTGTCCAAGCATCTTTTACTATTGAGTTAGCAATGGATTACATGACTTCTGAGATGCATTTTTCAATAAAAGTAAAATAGGATAATTCTTTCGACATGTGCACATCCCTGTAACGATAGCAGTATTCAGGTAAATGTTTTTATCACTGCGTTTGACGCGTTTTCTCGACCTGCATGGATTTTTGCTGTACATAAATGTGTTCCGTGTTAGTGTACTTTTTATTTTGCAGCAAATGCATTCAAAAATAATTTAATTCTCGGTATAGTTCTATTTTTTGTTGAATTTTTACTTTTCAAACATGTATTGGTCAGTTTCTGGACTTCTAAAAACTATGCTATCGGAGATGTGTACATGTCGACAGCCAGACTAGAAAATCACTCAAGTGAAACAGTTCTACAGGGCTATATATAGCAGGTACAGGTGGCCAAAAATCTTCGACTAAATATGGCGGAATCGAACAAATATGTCGGACAAGGGCGTACAGGAATGTAGTAAGTCGTACAAAGATGAAAACTGATGCCTTTTTAAGAGTTCATGTCAGCTTTAAGTACATAGGTATGATGAGCAAGAATGCTTCTACCAAAATTGTGATATCCATGACCCCAGGGTCAGGGGTTATGATGTGGCTCTATAATAATTATACGGTGAAAATACATTACATCTAAGTATGAAAATCTTTTTCTCTACTCCTGGGTAATAAGCAGATGAACTATTTACATAGTTATGATGGTCTCTTCTTCCAGAATTGTGAATTTCAAGGCCCCTGGGTCAGGGATACCAAGATGGGGAGGAGGAGGGTCTACTTATATACTAAAAATGAATTGTTTGAAAGTTTAATCAAACACACTTTCAAACGCTCTATTTTGACCCATGTTCAAGAGGTTTAATCTCTCTTAGTTGAACTCTAACATACACTTTTCTTGTCTAAATTATTCCTTGGATATTACACTTTCAAAAAAACATAAGCATGTGAAAAGTTTAATACTCATTTTTTTGGGGTATCAGCAGAATACAGTCATCCTTGATATTGTTTGTCCTCTGATGAATACCTCTGTATGCTCTGATTCTACAAATGGCATCTTGATATAGGTGTCTATCCTAGAAAGGTTTTTCGAACACGTACTCAAGCTGTCTCGCCGTTGAATATGGCTCTGAACTAAATTTAAAAGTTGTAGAAACTTTCTTAAAATTGTAGAAATTTAGTAGTTGTAATAATATTGTATTAGCTTTGAATGCTTATAACTTCGCTTCAATCTGATTTCGATGGAACGCGGCGAAATTAAAGACTGCAATATGATACATTATTAATATTGATATTGGATTAAGATAAATACTGTAACCTAAGTTATTAAATATAGAAATTTCTAAATCGATTGTCACAAATATATATATATATATATATATATATATATATATATATATATATATATATATATATATATATATATATATATTGGTCAACATTTTGTTCTTATCAGGTAATGTAGCGATTGGAAGGACGGTGTCAGGCCATAGTTATGACAATGGTGGATCCACTAACTTCAATACTGAAAACCTTACCAACGGAGATGGAGTCGACACCTGTGAACGTTTCAATGGATACAACATTTATTTTAACATATACCTTCAAACGACATATAACATAAAGTTGTCAAGGCTTGTATTCAAAGGTAATTATTTTATGTCTTAACAAAAGTCTAATACATACAAATTTTCATATTTTTTACGTACATGCCATTGATTTTAAGGCAGATAGACACAGTTTCAGTTGAAAAAGTATTTTTAATGATTTTTCAACAAAGTTAAATTTCAGCTTTAGAGCTCCAAACTTTTTCAATGTTAGCAAGATTCCTGCAATGAATTTGTTTACATATTACGTTAAATATATATTAAAATACATGTTCGTTCAAAGCATATTTTTTCTATGAAGAAGTCCATTCTTAATACGATTAGACAGTTTCTAGTGATTTGCTAACTCTTTTATTGTTTTAAATATGATATTTGCTATATGTTAACAAAAACAGGGCACGAGCCCTGTTTACATTATGAAGAACTTTAAGTTCTGTATCTCCTTTGTTAATCAACAAATGATGTTAAATTTTTTTGCTGATCATTTTAATAGCTTTAATTAGGAATTTTAAACATGCAAATTGATTTAAAAAAAAAAAAGTTTTACATGACCGTAAGATGTACACATATACATGTATTTGTATATTTACCATGGAACACAATTCCCCATTTAAAATCTATCCAGATTTGAAAATAAAAAAGATAGCTTTATAGAAAATCCTCAGTGGTAAACTGAAAAAACTCTTTCTTAATCTTAAATGTTAGTACTTAAAACATAAATAACAATTAAATAAACTCTCTTACAGGGAATTTTTCTTCAAACGCAACGTATTTCCAGAACTACGATAACACTTATGACTGGCCATTTTACATCACTGATTCATTTAGAACCGAAGTTCCACACACAGTAGACTTTGATATTCAACGCACAGGATCATACATTTACTTTTATATATGGTTTGATTATATAAACTCTTTCGAAATTGAGCTATGTGAAATAGAAATAATTGGTGAGTTGAGAATCTTTAATTTGCGGCTGATGTTTTACTTGTCAGCTTAAAAAGCACAATGACCATACTTATTTATATATGATATTTATTGACCTACATGTACATAATACATGTTTTAATTAAAAAAAGACTCTTTTAAATCATAATTTTCTACAGGTTGTGAAACTGACCATTATGGTGAGGACTGTCTCCCCTGTAATAAGTCTAAGAATTGTGAAGTTTGTGACGTTAACAATGGAGCATGCTATGTCTGCAGCGAAGGTTACACAGGACCAAACTGTAGCATAAGTATTACTTTCTTCCTTAATTTTCATTGTTATCTCATTATAATTCCAAATTTGTTATATTTTTTCTATGTGCAATTTGCTACACTGAAGTATCTTTAGCACGCAAACATGTAATTTGTTGTTCCCTGTTTGTTTGTTGTCGTGATAATGTATATAAAGCACGAGTTTTATCGTCAAAAAATGTGTTTTTTGGTGGTCAGAAGCATGTGCTGTTGGAAAGGTGTTTATCATTTATCTCGAAATGTTAATTTATTAATATAATATTTTTCCTAATGGTCGCTTTGTAATGAATTGACATTTTAAGTATATACTGTTCCCAACAAACAAACAATTAAGAAATAAATAAAAAAAATTAAAAACTTCAATGGAAATTGAAGTTGGTTGGGCACGTGATCAAATCCTGCGAAGGCCGAATATATACATGTATATACATGTATATTCGTCTGAAAATCGTTTTGGGGAGTTGATTTTTGGTCCAAAAAATGTCTCTGTCCGACTTATAGGCGAGTCATAGAAATATTGGTATTTTTTCAGAACAATATCAGGTAGTATTATATAATTAATCACGCTGATTATCATGGAATAAAGTTTAAATATTATACAATTATTGCTGTTTTATGAGGACAATACAATGATTTAGCCATCTGAGGAGTAAAGTATTCACAGAGTCCCGACGGGCTAAATCATTGTATTCACCGAAAAAACAGCAATAATTGTTTTATTATATGATTCACTGATAAAATGATAAAGCCCATTACTTGCTTGCATTTAATTAAGTCCTAGCAAAATACATTAGGAAATCAGAATTAAAATGTAAAAAAGCCTTACCAGTCGTATCAATTTTAAGTTTTTAATCAATTTTAGTTGCCATGACAAAAATGTAATGTCGGTCGATCTTTTTTTTCAAAGGATAGATTTTGAGTTTTATCAGGGAAAACTGACTGCCAAAAAGTAAAAAATTGTTGTTTAGTAAAAGGGTTGAAGGGGTCCCTGCATCCTCTTCTTACCACCCTCACCCGAAAACATATATTTGCTTATGTTTTGTTCACATGAAAAAAAAGGTATAGTCGTTTAAATAGCTTTCCAAAACAATTTGTATCATTTTGGGATTTCTCAATCTATATTTAGAACAATGTAGAGGAAATAGATCC